CCACCACTACTGCTGCTGCTGCTACTGCATTTCTTTGTGCAACTTGTATTGCCACTTGTTCGCAGCGGCGCTGGTGGCAATACAAGTCGCCAGACCGCATGCAATCCTCAGGTCAGAGGCGTGCTGATTACCCCCACCGCTCGGGGTTAATCAGCTGATGCCCTCCACCCACCAAGAAGGCAAAGTGAGGCGAGAGCAGCCCGACTCTGTTTGCCCGCGTTTATGGCGAACCGCGCGGTCGCGTGCCGGCCGTGCCGCGGGGCGGGGTGTGGTGGTGGCGGGGCGGGTGTGCAAGCGACACAGTGCCTGGCAGCGGGGCCGCCGCCGCCGTCGTGCCAGGCTCTGCCCGACGGGAAGAGGGCGTTTCCCACCCGGGCTCCTGTAAGGTCAGTGGACTGGGGAGGGAGAAGGGAGAGAGAGCGAGAGAGGCAAGAGGGGATCGACTGCGCGTCCCGGTCGGTCGCGACCGGCGAGGCGAGGGTGGTGAGCTCATCTGCCTGGCTGCACGCACGCCCGCGCGCAATGGCGGGGCGGGGCGGCGCCGCCCGGCTTACGAGAGCGGCTCTCTCGCCACGCAACGCGCCCGTCTCACTCGGTGACTGACGCGGGACTCTGGGGCGGGGTGGAGCCGCCTCAGCAACCGACGTCGTTTTTGTCTCCCAGGTGATCAGTCCAGCCGTGGGGACACAGTCCCCCTCGCTCCCCTTTCCCCCTCTGCCGCACGGCGGCCCCGCCCTCTACCCTGCCGCGCCCCGGAAGCACGACGTCGTTGGCGCCGCCACGGCGCTGGCGCTCATCAGCGTCAGCGCCGCCGCGCCGCCCAAGTGGATCTCTCCGAGCGGGCCTCGGTCGGACGACGTCGACGCGGGCCGAGGCTAAAGGGGTCGTCCTTCGGTGGTCGTTATCGTCGTCGACGACCTCTGGCGGCCACCACGGCGCAGCAGCGCGCAGCGGCCAACAGCGGACCCCCCGGCTGACCCTGAGGCGAGCGCCGCAGACACCTGCATCCAAATCAGCGGCAGCGCGGCCAGACCACACCGACTGTCGGGCACCGCTACTCGCCTCGACCGCAGCAGTCAGGCGGGGCAGGTCGGGGTGGGCAGCGGCATGAGCGGTCCAGCGGGGCGGTGCGGCGGGGCGGGGCGAGTACTGTACTTCTGGCTCCCTCTCCGCCACGGTGGCCTTCTGCTGCGCGCTGAGGTGCTACGCTATGCGGTAGGTCTTGTCTGTGCGCCGTTTGTTGAGGTGACGGCGGTGGTGGAGCCGCTGGAGCCCCTCACACACGCCCGCTGCCCCGCATCATGTCCCGGACCGCTCTGGCTACCGGACACCAACCGACCAACAGGAACACGACCTCCATCACCTTCCTCCACTGCCGTGCATGACGACGTGCTTGCTTTACGGTCCGGGCCGTCTTGTTCCTCTCTCCTCTGCGCCGCCTCGCGGGCTGCGCTGCGCCGCGTGCGCCCGACCGTCTGCCGGCTGCAGATTGGATAAGTAGAGCGGCCGAGGGGACCCAATAATGGAGGCGGAGCAGGGAGACGGACGGACGGACAGACACCACCGCCGCGCACCCTCTCCTCCCGTATATGCGGCCCATCCCAGAACAAATAAATGACGGCTGCATGATGTATGGAGCTACACCGCGCACTGTTGTGCTTGTGTGTGTGAGAGAGTGCGTGCATGAACTCTGCCGGCTCGGCTCGCACATCCTGTAAGGCCTCGCCCCCTCCCATCCCCCCCCTCCTCTTCCTCCTCGCTCTCGCAGCCGTGGGAAGAGTTGACGCCGCTGTATCGTACGAGTTGCACTCATCGGTATGGACCCCACGACGACGACCTGGCGTGGCACGGCACGGCACGGCACGGCCGGTGCATCATGGCCCGCGGGTGCCGTTGGTGCGTGTAGCCGCGGGACTCCTCTCTTGCTTGGTGATGTGGCGTTTTATCTCCCCCCTTTCCCCCCGCACAAGCACACCGGCTCTCATTCATTCTTTTATTCATTGGAATGCGCCGGCGTTGTGACACCTGCGCCCACTCGAGGGAGAGGCGCGTGTGTGTTTTACAGCCCGAGGGAGAGAGAAGGGTGGACGTCGCACTTCGTGCTCAGCCTGTGGACTGCCTTGCCTTGGTGCCCGTGTGCTGCTTGCCTCATGTTCCCTTCGCCGCGCTCGGGCGCGGGACGCGACGTCCAAACAGAGTGTCGATCCAGTTTTCTCTGCTGCGGCGGCGCGCAGGTCCCTACATACAGTGTCAGTGCGGCCAGCTGACGGGCTGCAGGCGCCACGCCACGCCGCGCCACCGCCCTGCCCCGCCCCGTAACATCCGGTTCGCACGGCCGCCGCGGGCCGCGGGTCTCGCTTCGCCTGGGTGTCTCTGCTGGGCCGGGCGCGGGACCGGGGGGATCCCTTGATGAGTCACGCTCCACCTTGGTTGTTGTGTTACCATTTGACTAGGTTGTTGTGGTACCATTTGACTAGGTTG